GAAGTGCCGAACCGCTAAAGTATGGTGCGGTAAAGCACTATCTTGGAATTGCAATACATTTTTTGAATAATCCGGATTATTCTCCACAAGATCTAGGTATCGAGAACAAGCGAAGTCCTTTGTAAGTGAAGATCGCTAGTCATATTTCCAGGAATAATAGAAGATCTGTGAATAATATATATCTACAGTTGTGATGATTAACAATGCCATTTGAATAAATACTTGCTATATTGGAAAATCACATATTAGCAATAAAATTCCCATTGTTAGTCAATCATTGGCTTATAAGTTGGCAAAATTGTAGACGGCGGTCAAAACTATTGCCGCTTAATTGTTGAACAAGTTTAATTTTCTACAGGTAAAATTTATGATATTCAAAGTCTCCTAATCAACTTTGCTTTTTAAACTACGGTTTTAAACCACATTGAATTTTTTTTTCATTATAATCCAATGCTTAAGAAGAGCCACCGTTGCATTTGTAATTGAATTGTTCAAGTAATTCCCCGTTGAAGATTGACGCAATCGTGAAAAGTCGATAATAAATTTTTGAAATGTAAATAAAACATTTAGTTTGATAACTCGAGTATAAATCCTTTCCATCGAAAGTTTAAATGTGTTTTATATCTTAATGAACGCTCCATTGGCATTTAAAAATAATTTTAGAGCAAATTTTCTTGCATGTAGGTATGTATGAAATGCATTAGGTCCCAATTTTTACAGCAATAAATTTAATTGGATTTTTAAACATAGTTTTGATAATCGTGTTCCTCCGCTCCGGTTTTTTCCCGCATTATAGTAGTACAATTTTGTAGCACTAGTTAAGTTTCCTATTTCAACTGTTTATTGAAAATGAAGAAAAAAATAATTCAACAAACTGAAAATATTTATTTATATCGGGTGTCCCGAAATTGTTGGTCAACAATGATAGCGCCCAGAGAAGACATTAAAATAAGGCCAGCACTTCATATAAAAAACAATCGATCTGGCTTCCTTATAGAATTATGGGCCTTAAAGTGAGAAGTTGAAAAATTAAATTTATTCTTAATTATTACACCATTTATTTGACGTTAGTGAAATTTTTGTAACATGTTTTGAATTGGAAGTTTCCTAAATCTTGTTGTTGTACAGGTATGATCAAAATTAACTTTTATAATTATTACAAATTTAACGGGGCTTCTTAAGTTTGGGGATATGATCAACTCAAATCAAAAAAGGTATACTTCGTTTTTCTCGATACCTCTACGGCTTTTAAGATGAAAAACTTTTTGTAGTTTGTATTGATAAAACTAATACTATTAAAAGTAATACGGATGTGAAAATAAAATCGAACCTTGTTTTTTTAGCTAAGGTAAATGTTCAAAATGCGTCCCAAAAATAGTTTAAACATTTTAGTTGCATTGTTAGCAAATAATAACAAGGTTCGATTTTATTTTGACATACTTACTGCTTTTAATAGTAGATATTAGTTGTATCACTACAAACTACAAAAAGTGTTTTATCTCAAAAGCCGTAAGATATATCTAGAAGAACAAGGTATGCATTTTCTGAAGCAAAAAATGGGCCTAGCTAACTGATTGATGATATCCCCATATTTGGGAACACCGGTAAATTTGTTCTCATTATAAAAGTTAAATTTGACCGTACCTGTACAATAACAAGATTTCGGATAATTTTCCGGATAAAATTCAAAAAGACGAGCATCCGTGAGAGCTTCTTGTGCTACAAAATTTCACGAACGGCTAATAAACGGTGTAATAATTAAAAATAAATTTAATCATTGTTGACCAACAATTTTGGGACACCCTGTATATCTAGGTGATATGAAATGGTTTGACTAAACCGGTAGAGATTGACAAACATTTAAAATACCATTTTTTTTATATAAGCACATCAACTTCGGATTTTTTAATAACGCACAAATGTCTTAATTTTTGCATTAAATTTGCTGTTTTTTATACTCCAAAGTGAACGGTGTGCTCGCATCGATGACCGCTAATTGATTTTTTTTGCGAATGGACATTTTCAAAATCACAAAAATCAAGGAATCGCGGTATTTTTATTTTTTTTCTGGATTGTACTAATTCCAGTAGAAATCGACAATTCTTAAACAAGTTGTTCGTTCTTAAACCGTTTGTCCTAAACCTTCTAAGTCCACCACTTTATTTCTGACTTCTATAGTTATTTCCAGCACATACTTTCGGCCTCCATACTTGTCCCCATAAAGTTAGGTGAAAACCCGAGCTGCTTGGTTTGCACATTTTATATTTACAAAGAAGAAATAATCCATAATATCAATTCTTTCTGCAGTACAATAAACGCCTTTTTACGCAACGCTTTGTATTTTAAATAAAAAATTGCCACCTGAACTTTTTCCCAAAAAATATCATGTGTACTCATAAGCAGCCACAAATTGTTTGGAAACATTTAGCTCATTACCCGGGCTCTATAATAACATGCAAGTTTTTGACCTAAATGACATTTTCTTAACATGAAATTCCGGTTGTTGCACAATTTTTCAATCCTGACCGCTTGGAACAGAGCAAAGTGCTTCCGCAGTAGCCATCAAAGCCCGCTTAAATGGCACTTTAATAATAAATGAGTCGCCTTTCGGTTTTTGTGTTCTCGGTTGATTTAAATTGGCTTTCGAAATTAGTCGCCAACAGAAAAGCTTTGAATAACATCAAAAAACGCTCGAAAAACCCGGGTGGAAATCTGTACCAATTTCCGTAAGCTTTTATTCGCATACTAAATAACCAACAACCCGTGTTCATTGTACAATACATGTTGTGTGATTGGGTCTGACCGATCGGAAATTGCCGTATAGACTCTCAATGCGCTCACCTTCTCTCCATTTGTGCCATAAACTGTTCCGTCTCAGCGCCAATTTCCAATTTTATATAAATTGAATTAGTGCGGCAATGGCGGAACATGAACAACACATAAATTCAATGTGGAAAAGCCGGGATGAGCAAAAGCTGCATCCAGCACATTACTACTACATTTTTCGTCTATTATACGGATTATTTTCGTGATTTGTTAGTCGCCCTTTTGCTTTAATGCCATTTTTACATCGCGGATAGCATTACCCCGGCCAGATAGTTACCATTAGCACTTTACGTGTTTATTCATTGTGTCCACGAAATTACTAAGCGTTCCTTCCGGTATTTTAATTAAATTAAATTTCTTTTTCGTTTTAGCGGTGGACGAATGCTTAGAAAGTTGAGACAACGAAATAAAACATTGCAATTTGTTATGCAAATTTAATTCCCCCAAAAGCTTAATGTCGATCTGGGGGCTCTGTTAATTTCAACATTAGTTTAGAGCTGCAACAAGTACTCATAATTAACAACGGTATTAAATTTAAAGGTTGCTTTCATACAATTTACAATAATTACATTATGGGTGGTATTTCTCAATGATACTATCATTGCCAGAAGCTCAATTTGAATCGACCTGATTTGAACGTGGTACATCCGTCTATGCAAAGTCTACCAACAACCGTTCAAGAAGGCTTGTAATACAAAAAAAAACGTTTTGTTTGATTGTTACAAAAAATTATGAGACGCTTGGACTTCTATTCTGTTTGTAGGGCAAAGCGTTTCTCATTTTTTTATCACTTTAACTGCAATTCTGTAGGAGGTTGTTCCCCTAATTTTTTCGAACAGGAAGTGTTGAAAACATAAACTAATTGTCAACACCGTACATTTTAATAGACTGCTGCCCTCAAGCTCAAAGCACGGAGCATTATGCTGTACTAATTTTCCATTATAATAATAAAGAAAAAATTAGACAATTTTGAAACTTTGCAATACAGAAAATTTTAACTCAAATAACCCGATGATGGTAAAAAAAGTATTGTAAAAAGTTTATTAGATAGAGAAAAATAATCTGTAATGAATTTGATTTTCCAAAAGAAGGACAACGCTTCAAATTTCAATAAATATCAAAATTTCTTTATTTTTATACATTTTTCTTATGTTTTAATGAAATCGACAATCCAAAATTAACCCTTCACAAACATTTTTATTCCATTCACTGCAGGGATTTCAGAGAGCATTAAACGAGTGGATAGCAAAATCAATAGAACTATCGCCAAACTGGAATTTCAACATCTTATTTTATAACAGAATTTTATATAGGGAGAAACGCCATAAAATAATAAAAAATTAAAGAACACCAATCATACATAAAAAACACAGAAAACAATTTCATAGATCACATATGTGTCAACATACAATTGATAATAAAAATTCATTAGGATGATTCATTTCAGCAAAGGAACCAACAAAAAATATATGAAATTATGAAAGCGCATTTATTTGACTAAATAAAGACGTGAAGAAATGCCGCATTTTTAAAAGACAAACATTTTGAAGCACAAGGAAAAAAATTGAAAGCATGAATCCGCTTCAACCATATACAACTTACCTACAACACATATAATTGCTGTCACAAACTATGAGACACTCGGTATACAAAGTTACATTTCAAAAAAATTGTTGGCCCTTGTATCTCAATTATGAGCAAACCTGAAAACAGCTTGAGTGTTTAAAATTTTTATTGCAAATATTTTTTAGGGAATAATATCTATGAATAAAGTGTTGCTTCGTACCCGGTACTTATCGTGAAAATACGACTTATGTTTTTTGAAAAAATAATTTCCCACAAATAGGCATTCTATAGAAACCAGCTTCCAGTTGTTCGTAAGTAGGAACGCCCTTCATTCCTGCAGGAAAAACTCTTTTGCACAATGGCAACTTTCTCGCAATCGATTAAAAATAGCCTTTTTATCCGGTTTCCAAACGAAGAATAACTGAAATGATCGTTTCATGGAAGTATAATTGAATAATTAACATGCCATATTTTTCCAACGCTGTATAGAAAAGTGGGAATTCAACAGAAGAGGAATTAGGGATTAGGAAGGATTTTTTTTGAATAAAATGGATAATTGGATCGCAGCAATAATTAGGTAGGAATGCACATATTCCGCACTAACTTACCAACGGCTTGGCACTGGACGATTTTCGTGGTCCCCAATCTAATAATGCTGCTGCTCGTGAATATTGTAAATCTGGGTGCTTGAAGTTGATTTTCTGAAAAAAAAACCATGCCAATTAAAACACAGAAACAACAGGTTTCCATAAAAATGCAAAAAATTAAAAAACTAAAATACAAAAAGAGGTCAACTGCTTCCATCGCTTGAGGGCATATACTCCATAATTTTACTTCACGACATTAATGTTTTCGAATCTCAACGGGGATGTTTGCCGAAGTTATAATTAAGCGCTCTATTGTAGTTTGAAAGTAGTTTTTAAAAGTCTCGGAACTTTCTGAGCGCTGACTAGTTTATATGTACAGCCCATAAAAGTGGCTGGAAAAAACTTCAAAGCGAACACTAACGCATTAAAATACAAGTTTCAGTTTTTGCATCTTGTGCTTTCATGGATCAGCTGCACCTGACGTTTCTGAAACAACAGCTACAGGTTGTAAGAACTACTTGAAATAATAATTTTTGTTTTGTTCTAGAAAACTCTTAGAATTTCATAAACTGAAAACATCTTCATCTGATAAACTGCAGTTTTCCGGAACGAGTTCTCCTTTATTTCAAAATGTGGAGGGCGTATCCGTAATAGTGCTCGTTGGAAAATATGATTATACTGCAGATTGCGCGCCGACAAAGCCATTTCCCTGAGCTAGTTTTTCTTAACTTACATCTGCCTGAGGGTTTGTTGATTTTCCGAAACAAACCTTCACATTTATCTATGGCATAATCAGCGATATCAATTATTACCGGCCACAAAAATTCGATCGATTCACAAAATACATAGTTGGATCGGCTTTCTCGTAAAAAAAAGTTCCTAGTGAAGCGATTTATCGAAATGTGAGAGACGACTGAACCTTTTTTAGAGCCGCTTCATACGTTCGCGAATTTATCGACAATTTCAGTGGAATTAATAATAAATAATTGTCATTTTTTGTTAGATTCAAATGGGAACTTTAGAACTCTAATGACCATCTCTGAACGAGTTCATTGCTTGCATATGATTAATCACACGTGAAACGTTTGCATTCCGAAAGGTTTTTTATTTAGTCTATGAACAGTTTTGAACAAAATTGACTGAACTGAGTTTGATATGAAAAATACTACTTTCAAGTCTTGTCTTCTTTAAAATACGCCATGTTTAGAAATTAAAATAGTAGATTTTCTTCAAAGAAAGAAGAATATTTAAAATATTATCCCCCACTCAAACTCTGCTCCGTCAATTTAGCCAAAAAATGGCGATTTTCAGGTCATCTCTTCTGAATCCATTGAATCATTTGTTAAAGCTATTTCAAAACTGAAGAACCAAACTGGATAATATCCAATTAGGGAAAAAATCTACTGTCCACCATCAAAGTTCATCCCTGTTCACCCTGTTTTGGACAGTCTCGCCGCAGATCAAATCAATTGGTGCCGATTGAAATTTATCTAGTATGAATAATAAAAGTAACGAGCTTAAATGGACGTAATCAGCTAAAAAGGCTCTTCATGGGTGCATTAAATTGGCTTCACTTAACAGTTGCCGAGATACGTGGCACGAGACTGTAGTAATGAAACGGTATGAACAACTTAAAAGTTTCACGATCTTCGTGCCCGGTTGCGATAATTGTGCCATTCACACGAGTACTATTTCTAGGTATTGATTGTTTAAGGGCTGGATTAGGTAATAATCCTATTTAAAGGATAAATTTACCAAAGTCGACCCAGGAAGTATCATGTGCACTGTCAAACACAATGCTATTATAATTAAAGCTAGTGCATGAAATTCGATACCGGACACTGCTAGAGGAAATCGGAGAAAATAATCGATTATTTTAAATTCAATTTGGAACATTACATGTGAGATTCTTTAGGTAGTGAGCAGCAAGCCGTGCTGATCTCAGATCCATTTAGGGCCAACTGCATCAGATCCTGCTCTTTTCTTTCGTCGTATTAAAAAAGAACGGCAACAAAAATTATAACAACAATACGCTTGTGTAAATTATTTTTGGTCAAAAGGGAATCTTGCAGCTTTACTACTTCCAGCAGTTTTCCAGAAGCAACAGAACTTCCCAAAGGGACGGTGGGCACTCAATAGACATTTTTGCGATTTGATGCGTTTCCTCTTTAGAAAACCCTCACCTATACGAAGTTTTAATTGGCAAATTCCTAATTTTGAAATGTTAATCATGCGCTAAAGGCCACTGCAACGCACTGCTTTTACTTGAAATGTTACGAACAAACTCTTTGAAATTTTATTAAGCCCGGTGCTTCTAACGGTATCAATCAAAATGGGTACAAGCAACACTTTGGACCTCAAAAGCCCCTTTCCAGATCGAACTTGATAAACCTTACTCAACTATTGCCTGCTTTGAATATCGGTATTTTATACGTGGTAAAACTAATACTCCAATATCAAGCACAGAAAATAACGAAAAGTAGTTGTGTTTATGACAATACAGCGTGATTCAAAAGTGGAATCATTCGACTGAAAGAGTTATTAAATCACGCTCAAAAAGTGTCGACAAATAAGTGCGTTTTTTCCAAATATTCCCACAGGACATTAATAATATAGATAAGTTCTATATTGTTGAGGCGGATTCTTTTTTTACAAACTTCTTTTTGGGTATTTCGCCTCAAAACATTCTGTCTTTAAAAAAGACATAATTTCCTCACGTCTATTATTACAGATTGATAAATAGTGCTCCTATTTAGCAATAAGAACGAATTATTTATCAAAAAGTAATCAAGAACTATCACCTAGAGGGTATCCTGCGACACACTTAAGTTCAAGCTGTAAGAGAAAATTCCAATTAGTAGAGAAATTAATTTGAAAAATTACCTTGACGTTTCGATAGCTATTTTCTGCTATCGTTATCAAAAGAACCTAAATGAACCTAAAAAGAGTATGTTAATAAATTGTGTAACAATAGTAGGATAATACAATATATGAAAATTCGCTCTGATAATTTGTCAGTTATCCTGACCTTGAACCTCAAGACCATTACACAAAAGACTCAAAGAACACCAATCATACATAAACAACAGAGAATATCATAAATCACACATTTGTCAACATGCATTTGATAATTGCCATAAAATTCAATGCAATAATTCCACAATTTTAACTAAAGAACAATCCACAAAAAACGTAAAATTAAAGAAAGCGCACTAATTTTACTAAATCAAAATAATTGTGTTGCT